AAACATTTGATAGGTGGGTTTCAGGACCCTGACTGTCACCTCCAAGAAAGCAGAGCCTGCCCTGGCTGCAGAGGTATGTGTGCCAAACAGCAGCAAAAAGTCAGCATTTTCCAAATTCTTTGAACTAAAATTTAATTTTTGCCATTTTGCAATGCCACCAAACCGCTCTTAATTTCCTTGAAACTTCTGTGCAACTGCTGACAACCAGGATGCCAAACTCTGGCAAAAGCACTGGATTGTGTGGAACCTTTTCATGTTAACCAGGGTGATATGGGACCCAAAATCCAGAATAATAAACTCCCCCAGCCTGCACTGATCCAGCTTACTGCAGGCTCTGATTCAGGCAGGAGCTTCCACCCTGTTGTGTCAGTTCAATATCATCAAAGAATCACAGACTGGTTTGGGCTGGAAGGGACCTTAAAGCTCATCTATTGCACCCCTGCCATGGCAGGGACACCTTCCACTGTCCCAGGTTGCTCCAGCCCCATCCAATCTGGCTTTGGACACTTCCCAGGATGGGGCAGCCGCAGCTTCTCTGGGCACCCTGTGCCAGGGCCTGCCCACCCTCACAGTAATCCTGGTTTTAACCCAGACTGGGCACGGTTAGACCCCAGGGTGGGATCTTTTCCATGACTAAAGCAAGAAACAGGGACTTCACCTCTTCTGTCACCTCAGAGGCAAACCCATCACCATTCTGCCTCCTCTCCAACATTCATTTTCCTACCTGCAAATCAGGAATAAGAAATGCACCTGTCTGAAGTGGTGGAAGTCACATATCTGGAGGAGTTTCCTCTCCTCAACTCACCTGCCACATCCCAAGCCCCAGCTCCAGGACCCCGTGGTCCCTCCCCATCCAGTTCTGCCATCAGTGGTGGCACCAGCCAGGCTGAGCGTGGAGCCTGGGCTGAGGGGAGCACAGGGACAGCAGCCTGCTGGCAGGCAGGGAGCCCACAGCACGCTGGTGCCTCTCTCCTGTCACTCACCCCCAGGGAAGGAATGTGGAGACAGCAGCACATGGAGCAAGTGGTGAGTATTTCCAGAGCCTGTGTGGGGGACACACCACTTTCCATTGCTCCAGTTGTGTGCTCAGAGGAGATTTGGAGGTTAAGGCAGTCAGAGAAGCCTTTTTTTGTACAGGAAATTTCAGAAGTAATTGCTTTAGTCAAAGAAAAAAATGCCAGCCATATATTTAAATCAGCAGGACTAAAGGTGAGGATTTGCAGGCACTGTGAATTATTTCCATCCTCCACAGTCACAGTCTGGGGACATTTCCTCATGTCAGAGGTCATCACTGTCTCTGCACAGAAGTGCTGGCAGAAGCAATGTCACCTCGTGTCCCACTCATGAGCAGTGCCAGGGACAGCCCTGCAGAAGAGACAGGGACTGCCCCAGGCAGAAAACTGCAGGGAATAAATCTGCCCCACATTCCCCAAGTGCTTTGCTGGTTAAAGGACCTAAACAGACTAAAAAACATTCAAATTCATCAACCCCCTTCTACTTTCTCTTGGAAAGTTTCTCTATCTCAGTTCCACTACTGAACAAAAGTGGAAGCAGCACCAGATTAAAAAAAAAAAAATCAGGAACAAGTTCCACTTCTAGGCTGAGCTTTTGCAGCTCCCCCAATCCAGGCTGAACCCACCCACATCTCCAGGAGGGAAAAACCCACACAGGTGACAAACCCTTACAAGAACTCTCTGGCAGCAGGATCCTGCAGTTTGGTACTATCAACCACAAAAGAAGGGGAAAAAAATACCAGAAAAGGAAGGGTGGGTTAAAAAAAAAAAAATCAGGAACAAGTTCCACTTCTAGGCTGAGCTTTTGCAGCTCCCCCAACCCAGGCTGAACCCACCCACACCTCCAGGAGGGAAAAACCCACACAGGTGACAAACCCTTACAAGAACTCTCTGGCAGCAGGATCCTGCAGTTTGGTACTATCAACCACAAAAGAAGGGGAAAAAAAATACCAGAAAAGGAAGGGTGGGAGGAAAGGATTAAAAAAAAGAAGAAGAAAAAAAAATCAAACCAACAAACAAAGTGCATTTCTCACAGCCACAATTCTGAAGAGTTACCGAGTCCTGGCAGTGTTTAGCCTGATGTCAGGGAATGTGCCTTGAAGCCACCTCACCCTAAAGGATGGGACCTGTCCCCCCTGCCCGACCCCAAGCACTGCACCAGCTCCAAGCCTCCCAGAGAGCAAAACCTTGCAGAAATCCCCTCCTCGGCACACGCACACATGCCCAAAAGAGCAAAGCCCCTCTCGGCATCCCTGCACAGCCAGCCCCGGGGGGAAGGAGGCACAGACCTCTCGGAGACGGCGGCGGCTCCGGCTACATCCCGGGCTGGGGGCAGGAGCTGCCCTGGCGCCTCATCCGCTCCTCGGCGCGATCAAAGACTGCGATTCCCAGCGGCCAGGAGGGATAAGGAAGGGGAGGGAGAACAGAGGGATGGGATGGGATTCCCCCACCTCCCTGTCCCACGGCCCCTTCGCGCCGCCGAATGAAGCGTGGAGAGCAGGAGGACGCGAGGAGCAATCGGCTTTTCGGGGCTTTGCTAATGAAATAAAACCAAATCTCTGTCCGGGAGGCTGCAGGCTGATTTCCTAGAAGGCAGCAGCAAGCCCTGGCTCCCGCCCACCCTGAGAGTCGGGATGAAGGCAGCCCGGCCCAGCTCACTCCCATTCACAGCCCCGGAGGGGTGTGCTCCCTCTGCTTTAGGAAATTGAGCACATCTGGAAGCTCTGCAGGGCCAGAGGCTGAATCGTGAGCTGGAGCTCCTCAGCTGTGAGATCCAGCCCTGGGAGAGGGATCCTGAGCACCAGGAGCTCCTGGGGGAGACCCCCAGCTCCCTGCCAAAACTTCTTCTGGACAGATTTTGTCCTCGTTGCCAGGAGGGAATGACTGACAGTGACATTTCTCATTACAGAGGCCAGATTTTCATCTGCAGGGACTGTCAGCATCAGTCTCCCATCACAACTGAGGTTTAAGATATTTGCATTGACATTTAGCAGGAAACACGGATACCTTTGGAAGTGTCAAGTTAAATGGGGGAAAAAATCAGAGTTTTCAAAATATTTTGCACATTAAACAAACATTTGTTAGCTCTTTGCAGTTTTGTTTTATAATCTTGTAAGTACTTAAAAGCATCACAATGTACAGACCAAAGGATAACACCAAAAGGAAGCACTTAAATAATAGAATTACAGAAGGATTTGGGTTGGAAGGGACATAACAGAGCATGTTATTCCAACCCCTGCATGGACAGGAACTCCTTCCACTATCCCAGGCTGCCCCATCTAACCCAGCCTTGAACACTTCCAGGGATGGGGCAGCCACAGCCTCTCTGGGCAGAAAGTGGGCAACAAATCTTCATAGAACAAAGCAGAGAGGGTCGTTACTGTCTTTTGTGTAAATACCACAAATTACCTCTTCTGAAATTCCTGCTTTCTGATGTTGCTCAGAGCTGCTACAGGTTTCTTTAAAAGTAGGAGAAAGATATCAGCACTTATCTCCTGTGCTTCCAAGGAATTCAGATCCAGAATTAAAAATTCCTGCTTTGACACAGAAAATTCTGGAGCTGTTTTCAGTGCTTGTGTTCAGGGTGTTGTTTCCTGACCTGCCTTTCCCAAAGTGCCCACACCATGCCTAAACCTTCTGGATTTGACCTTAGTGCAAGCCAAGCACCCTGGGTTACACCTTTGCACATCACAGACACCCAAACTCCCCCTAAAGAGAATTTACAAAGCAAAAAGGCAGATGGAGGTTGCTGAACTCGTGCACTGAATGCTACAAATAACAACTGTGAGTTGTTGTTTGTTGAGGAGATGGTCTGGTTCCACTTAGGGGCTGGAAGGACCCCAGTTATCAATGCAAACATCTTGCCTGGACCCTGTTCCAGGAATTCTGTTCTCCAGGTTGTCCCATGACCTCAGCACCAGCACTGGGGGAGCAGAGACCCCTTTATATCAAGGGAAAAAAGGCAGCCAGCAGTAGGGAAATACCTGATGCACAGCTGACACCAGACTCTCCAAGAAAGTCAACCCCATTTTAACACAAATCTAAATTACTATCTTTGGCCTTTATGGGGTGTTTTTAAGGCTTGGTTTGTGGCCAGAGGAGCTGCACTGAGGACCCTGCCCTAACCAGCAGTGCTGGCAATCATCCAGCTATGCACAGCACAGCAGAATAATCACAAACAGGATGCTCTGTGGACTGGAAAGAAGGAAACCTCCCTAATTTCTTGTTATAACCTGTTTTTCTATATTTAGTTCACTTTCGGGGTAGTTTGCAATGAATATTTTGCACTGGCTGCAAATACAGACATCCTGCAAGCAGCAGGGGACAGAGGGCTGGATTTTGGTAGCTTTTACTCATTTTTGTTCCTTCCCAGAGCCACATTCAGACCAGGACACATTTCCTTTTGGGCACTCCCTGGTTTTGGTCCCTCCTTTACCCACTGCTCCCCTCTAGGTTGGTGGCAGCCTATGATGTTGGGGATCTCTGCCTGCCTCCTTGCTGAGGTGAGGCTGATCAATGAAATTAAGCATTATTAAAGAGTGAGGGCACAAAAAGCACAATCATGAAAGTGTCACCTTTTCAAGAAACAGCTGGGAACAGCAACCAGCCCTGGCTGTGAGCGTGGCTAAGCCAAGAGAGTAGCAGGAGCCTTGGACTTTACAAGGAACACACACTCCTGTATCCATTTCCTTATTTTCTTGACAGAGCCGGTGGCACAGCTTATGGGGCCATCTGGAGAGCACATTGTGTTCTTGGAAGAGTGCACAGACAGCTCAGGGCACCTCAGACAGACTCACTTGGTATCAACTTCTTGCTGCTTACCAGCTTTGCCACCTGCCTCACAGCCTGGCTGGTGAAGGGCTTGCTCTAAAGTGGGCTTCATTAAGTGCTGAATTCTCACACTGGCACCAAAGAGGAGATTCAAGAGCTCAGACACTGTAAGAGCAGGTAGAGACAAATATTTCAAGAGCATAAAAAATCCAAGATTTGTCCATTCAAATGTATTTATTTGAAAATACATCAAAATGCCTGGGTAGCACATCACAGTGAGTGGTCGAGCTTGGTCCCTCCCCACAGTCCATCCCTGCCAAGAGGAGAGCCCTGCCTTTCCAAAGAGCAGTGGCAAGAGACTCCTTGGCTCACTCAATGGCTTCCATGACTTCCATCACCAGAGTCCGTGGTCCTGTCATGATGAGGCTGCTGATGGTCTGATAGTCCAGGTGCAGAACATACATCCCATTCACGGAGAACACAAACTGGCACACCTGCAGGAGAGGAGGCACAGCTCACCCCCAGCCCCTCAGCACCCCCTGCCCAGGACAAACTGGAACCAGGGGCTGAGATGCAAATAACTCATGTTAAAGTCCTGGAAAGCCTCAAGTATCACCACCCTGTAGCTACACCAATAATCACAGTGCTGCAACCACTGTGTCATAAAAATGGGACCAAGGGGATTTGGGCTGTGAGCTAGCAGAGGAAAAAAAGACTCATTTATGAGCAGGGGCTCATTTCACAGATGGAAATGAAACACAATATTAACATCCAGCAATTTGGTAGCAAATGAGATTAGGTAAGTAGAAATTAACTGGGCTCTTGAGTAAATGAAACAAATTCATCCATCCCCTTCCAATCCTGCCTGAAGCAAACAGGGAGTCACACTCTGCCTCTGAAAAATCCCATTGTTTCAAATATTCATTTGACTTTAGACTTGTATCAGCTTTTATAAATTACCACCTTGCTGCTGGGGTTTCTGTAAGGAACTGGGAAAGTCAACACTTTCATTCATGCCTAAGACTGCACACCAAACTCACATGCCTGGGCCTAAAGTGAGTTTCAAGCTCTCAGTTCATTTCTCCTGAGCTGTAAATACTGGAACTTACTTGATGAATCAAATTAAGGCATCAATTTGATATTATTGGAAAACAGCTTAATGGAGAAGTCCATTGCTAATAGCAGGGGAACAAAATGCTCAGGAGCTGAGCATTCTAGGAACTGTGATTCAGGACAAAGCTCTGCTCCTACCCTGCCTCCCTGGGGTTATATAAAGTCACTGGAACTGAACTGGGAATTCTCTGCTTTGTTTTTAGTAGCTCAAACCATTTTGACAGTTCCAAGGTCTGGCACAGGGATGGTTTACTTCTGACAGAGTTTTTTGAGTTTCAGCTGCCCACAGCCCCTGTGCTGCCCTAGAAAAAGCAAATCCTGCACTCTGCCAGCACACACAGGGCACTCTGCTGCAGAGAAGATCCCTCCCTCCATCTCTCCCAGAGCTCCACGTGCCCATTCCATCAGTCTGATCCCCAGGGCAGGAGGTGGGAATACCCTGGAGGATGTGTTCAGCCCAAAAAGCTCGAACAGGACACAAATCCTGTTTATTCTCCACGAGTAGGTACCTTCATCCCTGCAGCAGCAGCAGGTCCTCCTGGATCCACTGCCTGGATGTGGCAAGGTCTTCCCCCTCGAACCACAAACCCCCAGCCCACTGCATCCCCCACAATCTGCAAGGAAAACAAAAGGGATTTAAAAACCAAGGAATGGGCTGGAGAGAGGAGATGCAACAGCTCCTAGAGAGACAGAGAGCTCATGATCCTAGCCTGTATGGGCAGGAGAGAAAAGGCCGTGCACCAAGTGAGATGCAGAAGTGATTAACTGCTCCCTGCAAAGCTACAAAGCTAATTTCTGATTAATTTCCAGCCTGTGCAGGAAGGAGAATCACAGGCAGCATCAAGCTGAAATGCAAGGCATGCACCTCGAGCATGCTTGAGAACATTCCCAGGGCACACACATGTGCTGTGCCTTTTCCTTGGCACAGCAGAGCATTTCCTGGGTGGAAGGGGCTGCTCTTGCCTTGCCACTCTGGTGTCAGCCTGCAGAGCAGTTTGCTGTGGTACCGCGGCCCTCTGAAGTGCCCAAAAGAGAAAAGGAATTCCCAAGGCACTTTGCACATGGCCCGTATAAATAAATAACAGCAACTGCAGAGCTAAGCAGGAGGAAATGAGCCATGAAAGGCCCAGGCTGGCAGAGTTGAAGGGCAGGGCAAGAGCGTCCAGGAGGAGAATGAACAGCACTCCTCAGATGTGCCGTGCCAATCACCAGCCTGATTTTTCTTGCTCCTTCCCACCACTTTGTACAGCACACTTAATTTGGGAACCTGATCCACATTTCCTGGTGCCAAAGCAGCATGGCAAGGCAGCCCTCATGCTTCCTGTACTGATCTCTGTGAGATTGCCCCTTTCAGAGGTGGGCAGTGGAGGGGTGAGACACAAAAATAGCCAAGTGCAATAGGATCCACAGGGCAGGAGCTGCCTTGCAGCATTTCCACCCACCAGCGGACTTGACCAGTCCTACAGCTTTAGAAAGAGTTTAAAAAACAAAACCCCCAAACTTGAGATGTCTGCAACATCCTGGAGATTTGTCCATGCAGAAAGTCCAACATAAAGAAGGCAAGAGTGGCCCTTGGATGCTCCCCCCACCCAGTGCAGCTCCATCAGAGGCTGATGGATCAAATCAACACCCCTGATCTGCAGAGGGACCTGAAAGATGCATAAAGGGTGTGACAGAGGGTGAGTGCCACAGTCCCAAGTGCCACAAGACTTACTGATTCTACAGCTTGCATGGAGCTGGTTGGAACAGAAACCAGAGAATATTAGGATGGGTTGCATCGGAAAGGACCTTAAAGATCACCATGTTCCACCATGTCCTGCCATGAGCAGGGACACCTTCTACATCCCAGGTTGCTCCAAACCCCATCCAACCTGACTTTGGAGACTTCCAGGGATGCAGGGGCAGCCACAGCTTCTCTGGGCACCCTGTGCCAGGGCCTGATCAATGGCAAAAAAACTCCAAAATGGGATGTTTTTTTCTGGCCAGAAAACACTTTTTTTTCCCCTGATCTACCTCATGGATATGCATTAAGCTCTCAGAGGGGCTGAGCACATTTCCACTCACAAGAAAGTGTGAAGACATTGACCCCTAGAGAGTCACCAACAAAAAGTCACGATGATGTGGCAAGCAGTCAAAGCTTTAGCACAGAGAGGTCAGAGCAGCCAACAGAAAACCACCAAAAAGCAGGCAGGGAGCTGGGTGCTGCTGGATTAGCAATGCCACTCCCAATGGTCACTCACAGTCAGCGTTTTCTTGACATAGGGGGCCCCAGGGGACAGCAGCTCCTCAGTGGTGACAGGTCTCTTTAACACTAGAGCAGAAGGTGACAGATTCCATCAGAATCAAGGGGTTTGTACAGGAAAGTGCATAACAAGGCAGCCTGGGGATCACCCTGGGCTGGAAAACAGATGTTAGAACCACAGTTCCTGCACACCAAAACCTTCGTGTTCATCTCAGGGGTGTTCCAAACACAAGCACAACTTTTCAAATCAAGATGCAGAGGTGAGGCTGAGGGGTTTGATGGGTTTGGGGCTGGGCTTGAGCCCGTGCCCTGCAGGAGTAGATGTCTCCCATATAACAACAGACAATGCAGAAGCCCAGACCTGATTTAGGGTTGCACTCAGGCACAGGAGGGAATACCAAGGTAGGAGGAGCACTGAAGTAGGTGTTGGAGTTTCCAGAGAGGGAAGTGATGCTGCTCCTTCGAACTGCTGAGACAACTTTGATCTCCTTGTTGGTCTGCACTGAAAGAGGCACATAAAAAAACTTCTGTGTAAAAACAGACTAGTTTAAAATAACAAACTTCCCCCCAAGCCTGACCTACACTTGAAAGGTGTGTGTGTGCACAGAAGTATTTGAGCTTAGAAAGAGTCAAACCAGCTTCAAAGAAAGATCAAGAGCTGATCTGATGCTGAGTTATTTTCCTGGGACAGGGGGCTGTGCTAGAGACTGTCAGTGCATTGTGACACCCACCACAAACCAGTGGGATGGGTGTTCACCTCATGGGGTGCCCAGAGGAACCCCTCAAACTCTGCTGGAGCGACACCCTCATCCCCGGACACTCGGGTAACTAATCCTTGCTTTCACATCCCATTACCAGAGAGGAAGCTGGTGTTGCCTGGCTCTGGGTTGAGCTTGCGGAGGCAGAAGGGGCTGTCGGGGCTCTCGGAGAGGGCACGGGAGGAGTTCTCATTGAGCAGCTCCGTCAGGCGCCGGCGCCGGCGGAAGTTGATCCAGAAGTGGTAGAGGATGTCACTGTCAAAGAAGTGATGCCGATTGGAGACTAGGAGAGAACAGGGCAGGAGGGAGAGGCTGAGGGGGTGGAAAAAGAAATAACAAATATCCTGAGGGACCCTCATGAATTGTTTTTAATGCCCCTGTGCCCTACTGCAGCTTTTCTGCCTGCAGGGAGGGAGGAAGAGCAGGGCCATCCCCCTAGAGGTGCCATCTGCCAGGGGGCACTCACTGGCACAGCCCTCCACCTGCCCCTGTCCCAAGACACTCAGAGGACTCCCTGCCTTCCAAACTGGAAGTTTAATTATAGCAGATGGATATGATCTCCAGCCAAGAGCAGCTAAACATGACATCCTCACGCCCCAGCCCTCCAAACCCAGGGGTGCAGCCCAGCCCTGTGGCCGGAGGCTTTGAAGAGCTGAAGAGCAAGAGCTCAGATTTCATCTCAAAGCCCTTGCGGATGGTAAAGATTGCTCCAGTTTCAAAGGTCACCAGCTCCAAACATAGAACTCAAAGGCTCCATTGCCATCTCCAAGTGGGCACTTGACCAGCACTTGTTGCTTGGCATGAATGGGGGTTTGTTCCTCCCCAGCCACGCTCATCCCTCGCTTCCCAGCCCTGGCTCACCATGCTGAATGATCCCGTGCTCCAGCAGTGCCCGGCCCAGCTCCACTGCTTCCTGCCTGTTCTCCACCTCTCCCTCCTGAACCAGCCAGTCGATCATCTCAGAGCCCAGGAAAGTCCTCTGGTACTTCACCGAGTTCTCCTCCCTCACCTTCAGGATTGACTCTTCCACGCTCACCAGCCTGGCACAGAGGTGGGACAAGGCTCCCGTGATGCCAAACATCCCTGCCAGTCCCCAGGGGATCCCAGCCAGGTGAAGCAAGGCCGAGGGAAGCGGGCAAAGCATTGCAGCCAGAACATTCCTGCCGGGGAGCAGCGGGCAGGGAGGGAGGAACGCGGAGCTGCAGTCGGGCACCTTTGTAAATCTCCAGCAAAACCGGGCGGGCTGTGAGCTCGGCTAAAGACCGCAGGGGAAGCCAAGCGAGAGACTGAGTGTGGGTAACACACGGCAGGCAGTGCCAATGCCAGGACAAGGTGGGTTTCGGTCAGCAGGCAGCGTGTGAGAGCGAAATCCAGCGTCTCCACGAGAGGGTGCAGCCGGCTCAGCCATCGGGGCCGGGATGCTCTCCCCATCCCACGGGCACGGATCGAGAGCAAAGCACAAGGGATGCATATCTGGCACAGGGGCAGGGACACGCCCAAAATCACACCCGGCCGGATGGAGGACTGTCCTTCGGGGTCAGTTTGTGACTCGCTGCCAGAGGGGGAGGATGTGAAGCTGTGAAGAGGCTGTTAAAGGAACCTGGTCCAGAGGGTGGGCTGGGGTTAAACTCTGGAAAGATGGCTTGGATTTAGAACGAGAAACAATCGACACAACGAAAATTAAACACTTGGAAGTGGAAGGAGTTTTCTCTACTCTCTGGCAATAACCTTTTCCATTACAATTTTGCAAATTAGGCTAAGAAATAGCCTAATTTAGGCCATGAATAGCCTAAATAGGCTAATAGGCTAAGAAAGGGGCATGCACCCACGCCCACGAGGGTCCTCAAAGTCCCACACCTTGCTGATTTTGGTGGGACACAAGTCCGAATACAGCTGGTGGAATCTGCTCACACGAGGAGGCTGGGAGAGTGCTGGGAATGGCCACTGGATGTGCTCATCCCAGGAGCACTCAGACAGCAGATCCCAGACCCTGCACGTGGGCTGGAGCCCTTGGAAGCATCCATGAGTCCATAGTAAAACTCCACTCCCATGCCCTGGTTGTCCTGCAGCTGTGGCAGAGGCTCAGGACGCAGCATTTCCCAGTGGGACAGCAGGGAGTGCAGAGAAGGAAAAGCAGAGCCAGCAGGAGCTGGGGCTCCCAGCTGCAGGGCACCAGCAGCCAGCACAGCCAGCAGGGCACAGCCCCAGGGCCCCAGGGCCAGGGAGGACTCACGTACTTCTCATAAAGGCTCTGCCCTCGCAGGAACACCTTCACGTCCTTGCTGAGGGGGAAGGTCCCGTCGTCCTTGCGGAAGCGGTAGAGCAGCTTGGCATCCTTGTAGTCCGAGTGCTCGTCACAGACTGGAGGGACACAGGGCAGGGATGTCAGGGACAAGCGGGGCTCACCTCAGCAGGGTGGTGTGTCCAAGCTAAAAGCTGTGAGGGCTTCGTGCCATGTCCCTCCCATGTGTCCCATGGAATAATCGGCATCCGAGCCCTCAGTCCCCAAAAATTACCTGCCCGTGAACACCTGAAGCTCATGCTGCTGGGAGAGGTCAATCCCAAAGTACAGACCTTGGCAAAGCTGGAGTTGGGGGCTGCATTGTCTTCCAGACACTAAAATATTCATTAGAAAAAGCAGGACTTTTTTTTTTTTTTCATTTAAGTGTTAATGTTTTGATTTAGACTGAAAGAGGATGAACAGAATTGCCTCAATCAAGTTTTTTTTAAAAGCTACAGCCACATGTAAGCAGACTTAGAGGACAGAGGTAAAAAATCCACACTGCGCTCAAACCCCCATATCTGTCTATCAAAAATACTCAAAAGCTAAAAACAATGGCACAAACTTTTCCACATCATTTTATGCCAGCCCTGCCCAATTCATGTGCATGGCAAACTGACCTCAAGAGAAAATTTCCTTCAAAGCCAGGGGCAATACAACTGGAATAATTAAATCTGTATTAAAAGCCTCGGATTCATCTTGGGGACTGGCACACACTCTGTAAATGCATGGCTTAATAGTTCATATAACCTTCAGCAGGTAAATATTTGGGACACCAAATATTTAAATAAATATGTGAGATAAACCTGCCTGAAACAGACTCCTAAACCACAAGTAAAAACAACAACAACAACAACAAGACTAAAACCAAGACCAAAAATCCCAACCCAAAAATCATAGTTCAGCTCTTAAAAGTCAGCCTGCCTTCAGCTGCACCCATCCGAAGCAAGAAGAAGAAATTTAAGTGGTAAGAAAAAAAGCCCAAACAACAAAAAACAACAAAAACTAGAATAAAGGATATGCCTGGAAAGCAAAGAAAATTAGTCAAAGAGAAAAAGAAAAACCGCAAATGTTTCCTCACTGAAGTAGCATCATCCACTAGAGTGAAATTCAAAAGATTCAAAATACTTCTTGTGAAAATTTTAACTCCTTTTCATCCTTCCAAGCAGACTGGCAAAACCACATTCCCCTTCAGGTGAGCAGCAAAATGCCAAAACCTGTCAGATTATCTCGGGTTCATCGTTCCTGCAGAGCAGAGCAGCTGTCTCAGATGCAATCAGGGCTCCAAAGCCTGTGACTCACCAAGCACGAGGGCAGTATTGAGAAAGTTGTCTTAACAACCTTTATTTTAAGTGAAAGTTTGCAGCCTCATAATTCCAAGGAACAATAATTCCAAAGCCATTGCAACCAGGAATAGAACATGAAATCCTACAGCACTGTGCCCATAGAAAACCAAAGCAATTTTTCTATTTAAAGACCAATTTCAGTGTGTTTCCAGTGTGTAACAGAACCAAAGCTCAAAGAACAGCAGACAATTAAGAGGCAGCACAATGATCTTCATGAGATAATTATCTGGATGCCAGGGGAGAAGAGGGCAAACAGTTCAGCCAGACAATTGCCAAGCACCAGTGCTCTTTCCACAGGACTAACAAAATTAATGGGCACAAGGCAAGTTGGAAAGTCAACTTCTGTGTCCTGCCAGGAATTGTCACAGGAGCAGGAGGGACATGTCTTCATATGCAATCAAAACAGTGCTGGTACCCAGTGCTGCACAGGTTTAATTAACTAATGGATTTATTTGAAACTGTCAGCTGGAGAGATGGAAAAAGAATCAGGTGTAAGTGTTAATGGTTAACTGAGAACTCCCTGCTTCAGCTTTTTGTGATAAAGCCCAGCAGCAGTTTATTTTTATTCAAGTCAGTTTAATGTAAAGGGCATTACCCTCAACAAGGAGCAGATGGCAACAGGGAGTGTTTGCATTGCAGTGGTCAAAGGCAGCTATTTTTGGACCCCAGAGAGGAGGGGGGAGGAGAGGGTTTGGTTTGGTGTGGTCATCATCTGCTTCTGTCTCCTCAGCTACATCCTCGTGTGGCAAAGCAGCACCCAGCTCCAGGCAGCCCCAGCTGCTGCCCCAAAGCCCTGGGAGCAGGAGAGCTCAGCCACAGCCCTTCCCTCCCATGGCAGAGGGTTCCAGGGCTGTTTGACACTCTGGGGGCTTTGTTCCTGGCTGGGCCTGAAAACCACATGGACAGGAATTGCTTTTTGCCCATCTGAAGCACAACTTGTTTTCTGTTGTTATGTCGGGACCAAGGGCTGGACCTTGCTCTGCAGCACAGAGCTCAGTATGTGACCCAAGTAAATTCAAAACTCCTGAAAGTTCCAAAGAAGTTTTTAAAATAAAAAAACCTGAGTATTGCTAAGAGCTGGGCTTGAGCATCAAGCTGATTTTCTCCACTCTTCCTTTTTTTTTTCTCCTTCCTTTTAAAACTTCTTTTTAATTAGGTTCCACAGACAAGCCGTTGTAATGGCAGCACACACTTAAATCCTAAGGGAGTCTTTCCTAAAGGATTGCTCCAGCTTCAGGTTCACAGCTGTCAGATTAAATTTTCCTTGGAGTGATGTGGACCCCACAGCCCTATTTGTCCCAGCATGAGGAACTGAGGAGCACTGGGGTCTTATGGTGCAGGTGTGAAATGTGCTATAATTCATCTTCCACTTCTGTGTGACACAGACACGAGCCAGACCAGCTGCTGTACAAACACCCACCTGGGTACAGGAATACAGGTCAGGTGTCACTGAGCTTGCTTTCAAAGAGGAGACACTTTAGACATTATTTTACCAGTGCACAGCCCAAGCCCCTTCTCTGGTGGGCAGGGAACTCACAGAATTCACTCAATGACCAGGTTGGAAGAGACCTTCAAGATCACTGAGTCCAACCCAGCCCCAACACCTCAACTAAACCCAGTGCCAAATCCAGTCTTTGTTAAACACATCCAAGGATGGTGACTCCACCACCTCCCCAGGCAGGCCATGCCAGAACTTTATCACTCTTTCTGTAAAAACCTTTTTCCTGATAGCCAACCCTTGGCACAGCATGAGACTGTGTCCTCTCGTTCTGTCAGTGCTGCCTGGAGAAAGAGACCAACCCTCACCTGACCACAGCCACCTTTCAGGAGTTATAGAGGGTGATATGGTCACCCCTGAGTCTCCTTTTCTCCAGGGTAACCAACCCCAGCTCCCTCAGTGGTTCCTCAGAGGGTTTGTGTTCCAAGCCCATTTCCAGCCTCATTGCCCCCTCTGGACATGCTCCAGAGTCTCAACATCCTTCCCAAACTGAGGGCCTGGAACTGGGCACAGCACTCGAGGCGTGCCCTCACCAGCACCAAGCATCTGGCAGATCCCCCAAAGCAACCCAGCTTCACACCAACCCAGCTTCACACCAACCCAGCCCCATCCTGCCTTTCCCAGCCTCTCCAGGAGCCCTCACCCACGGCAGGGCGGCACTCAGGGACTCCTGCGTGCCGGGCTGAGTGGCACACGGGGTGAGCAGACACACAGCCCGCCCCGGGGGCAGCAGGAGCCCCACACACCGTGGTGGATGATGTAGTGGTCCATCAGCTTCTGCATGAGGCGGATGGCGGTCTCGCGGTCGGGCGCTTCCTTGTGCTCGATCAGCCAGTCCGTGAGCTCCTTGGCCACGAAGCAGTTGGGGTACGTGCGCAGGTGGAACCGCCGGTCCTTGATCAGCTTCCCGTCGTGGAGACGAAGCCTGGGGGGAAAGGCAGCCACTGAGCACAGCTGGGCTCACACGGGAGCTTGGGTCTGATGCCCGGATCTGTCCAGCCTGGAGAGAGCAGCCTGGGCGTGGTGGGGCTGGTGCCAAGCAGCCAGGGACTGATCAATTCAGCCAAACCCCTTGGCGCTGCCAGGCTGCACCAGCCAATCCCAGGGAGCCTCCCCACCATCCCCTTCTCCCCTCCTGCCACCACTCAGCAGATGTAGTCTGACCCATACGTGTCTTCTCATTCTAAACAAGCCTCTAAAAAACCCATAGCAGCCAACCAAAGAGGGTAAAGAGGATGTAGTCTGACCCATACGTGTCTTCTCATTCTAAACAAGCCTCTAAAAAAAACCATAGCAGCCAACCAAAGAGGGTGAAGACGGGACAAAACTCAGAAAACAAAAAGTACATGTATTCGTATGTACAAATAGCACATTTGTATTTGTGTATGTCTCTTGGCATGGTTCTGTGTCTAGTTCTCCTTCCCCATGGCCACAAAAGCAGGAATAAAGCTGCCCCCAGGACAGAGCCTCGCTCATAACTCCAGGTGGGAGCAGTAACAGGAGCCCTCCTTTCTCCTGTCCAAGCAGAGAGTGCCAGCTGGATGCCAGCACTGCCCAATCCCTGTGCCCACCAACCCACAGCAGCAGTGGACAACAGTCCTGGCATTTTCTGGGTCCAGCTGGGATTGATTTGGACAGAGTTTACCCAGAAACAACCCTCCTACCCCAACAACCCCAATGTTATGGCTGCTCTGCAGCTGCCATGGAAAGGTAGATGGGGGAAGGTTACTCAGGTGAGCACAGCTTTGACTTTCAAAAGGACCTTAACAACTGAGTGAGCCACAAGGCACAGAGTTCCTCTGTGCTCCAGCCAAAGCCAGCCCTCTTTGGCAGCAGATCTGTCCAGGGGCCAAACCTTTGCCCTGTAGCCATGACTGTTCCCAAAACACCCGTGCTGGAAAATGTCCAGTGTGTGCAGCAGGCTCGGAGGGGAGATATTAATTAAACATCTCTGTAACTCCAGGATGGTTTTTTTTCAAATTATTCATCGCAATTCCCAGTTTTGCCCCGGGCCAGTGAATTTTACTAGGGTATTAAACACTGCAGCCTTTTGTTATTTCATGCCTCAAGTTCTTTTGTTCTTTTTTGGAAAAGTTATGCCTGTTGGACAACACTTTTAGGTATCTCACAGTAAGTTTGGATACCCTAAAAACCTCTCAGCTAATAATGGATCATCCTATATTGCAACATTTATAAATACTAAGTTCCTAAAATTTTTACCATCAAATATTTTGTTAGAAGAATCATTAGTAATTGATTGTTGCAATTAATACTGAGAAGTTTTCAGACCTTCCTGCCAATTAAAACACTAAACTAAAGATTCATGCAGAACCAGCTCCTGGCCTTGCCTTGCACAGACCTCCCTCAAATCCTGAGGTCCATATCCAGCATTTTATTCTTTACCTGGAAGGTTGATTCCCACATGTGCCCAGCACTCGTTCTGCAGATGGGTTTTACCCAGAAAGAACACTCCACAGACAGCTGCCTTGCTATTTTTAGAGTTTTTGTCTTTTTTCTTCCTTTATTTCATGGTCCACTGTCAAAATGCAACCAGACACAGTCAGCAGTGACTGCAAACAGAGGATCCTTGCCCATGGAGGAAGACACAGACAATTTCATGTTTTCTCTCCTTCACAATCAAAAAGTAGGAAGGCACTTTAGAAGAGTATTTGGTAAAGACAAGAAATGTTCTAACAGTGCTCTATTGCCACCAAGAGTCTACAGGAGTCTATATACAGAATACATATAGTCTATATATAGGAGTCTATATATAAGAATATATATATGTGTGTGTGTGTATATATATATGTATATATATATATATGTATATATATATATATATTTTTTTTTTTTTACATTCACACACACCCCCTATACATATAATAATACATAGACCATAATCACAGAAGGCCTGAATAGAAACTGGTTAGGAGAACACTATTTCCCCTATTTTATTCCCTTTATTTGATCATGTTTCACAATACAAAAAAAAAAAAAATTGCACAGATTTTAAAGGAGATAAATAAAATTTAAAAAGAAAATATTTTTAGGAAGCAAAGCTGCTAAGGACCAAGATTTAAAAATTAAAAAAATAAATTTATTCTGAAAATATTTGACTGGGAGCAACTGCCAGGACAGGAATTAAGTGGTATTTCAGCACCTCTGGAGCAGCATCTTGGGCCCTTAAGGGCTGTTTTAAACTTGTGACGAGTTTTCCCTCTGTCCTGCAGACTCAGGGCAGCGGAAGAGGCTCGACTGGAATGTCCTTGCAGACTTTTCACTTTCCTCTTGTTTACTGTTTCCTGTCAACCCTGAAGAGACAAACTTTGTCCTTCAGCCACAGGATGTAACAGCTCTTGTGTGATGTTATAAAAACAAGGCTGGTGAGACCATGAGTGGGTTCTAATCATGCCTCCAGATAAATAAGATTAAGCAAATATATAATAATATATATATATTATATTATGAGTTTTCTAGATGGCAAAATCCACCCTGTGGACACTTTACTTCTTCAAAAGGAAAAAGAAAAAAAAGCAGAATAAGGTCAGGATAAAACACTTGCTGGAACATGAGAATGGGCTCTTATGAAACACTCCTGGCTTGGCAGGCAGAGCCTCCACGTGCGTTTGCTTTGGGGAGGTTGTGTTGGGTAAGCAAATTGTTTCTTTGTCAAGGTCACTACAAAGCCATCATTATTCATTCTGGGTAACCTTGTGGAAAGGGACATCCAAACAGAAGAGGAATAAACTCTCCCTCACCTCCCATGTAAACAAACCTTGAGCATCTCAAATGACAAGGTGGATCTTTCAAGGATATTAATTCTAGTTCACAGTGCCACAGCAGCTAAGCACAAATGAGTGGCCTTGGAAAGATGCACCACCTAAAAGATCTTTTCTGTTCCTATCTTCACGGGAACAAACAAACAAACAAACAAAAAAAATCCCCACCAAAACAACAAAGTGCTCACTAAAAGGCAGCAACGGCCACAGGAGCATTTCTGCAAAGAAGCTGCTGCTGGAGAGGCACATTCAGGCAAAAGAGCTGCTGCAAACACTGCACATTTTGCTGAAAATGGGTTCAGCAAAGCCCAGTTTGCATCACCCCCCATATGAAAAGCACCAGGACATCTGGGGACACAGGCTTTGCACACCTGTGACAACCCAAAGTGGTACTGAGGTGTTTCATTTTCCTTGTATTTAAATATAAGTATAGGAAGACTTAAATCTCAGAAAGAAATCCCAGCAAGCACAAGTCCACTTCCCAGTCCTCCCTTTCACCAGTGCTAGAAATTTTATAATTATCTTTTTAAGGTAATTCTGACCATGAAGCCTCATCTTTGAATAATGTTCACTGTTACATCAAGCAGTGCCCCATGATTCCTCAAGGAAGTCATGCTCTCCACAAGAGATCCAAGTCCAACAGAGAACCACCAAACTTCCTGCAGACAAATGACTTTTGGGCAAGAATACAAATTTTGGCATGTTCAGCCACACACCTTTAGTGAGCCCAATTTCCAGAGCATCAAAGTATGAGCACTTTATTTAACAGCACTTCAGTCTGAGTATACAAAAAAACACTCGCCAGCTCTGAAAGTTTTGGACAGTGACAGAAAATGTAATTTTATTCTTTGTAGGAAAAAAGCTTCCTTCACCTCTCACTTTTCCTGTGCAAGATATAAATTTACTGAGTATATTTTATGTTTAGGAGTGATTAATGCAGCTTAGCAGAGCTATTAGAGCCCAGCTGCTTCTCTTGACCATGGGAATACCCAGATGAGAGTGCACCAGGGCTTGTCCATACTTGAGGAACTCTGATTACAGCAGGGTGTGAATGCAAAGCGAGGAAGCTGCTCCAGAGCCTCTCTGTGTAGATAAAACATTTGTTGCAATTAGAAGTGACTAATTGGGCCTCTCTTACAGAATGCCACCCAGGAATACACAACGCCCAGCAAAACCAATGTGATTTTCATGCAAGTTTATACGTCTGACACAAGAGGAATGACAGCAGACGTGAGGAACGAGCCTGAGCCAGCAGCTCTGTCAGACTCAAGGCCAAAATATCAGTGAAAATTTTATTTTTGTCTTTCTACTGAAGAGAAATTCAAAACACAATTTTTCCCCCCTTCCTGGAACAGGCAGCCGTTGAAGCAGAGGGACCCTGGCAGATAGGCAAACCCAAACCCCACTGGCCAATCTCCCACTGATTCCTTCAGGATCCACTTCATTCCCAGCCATCCACACGGAGCATTCCTCCAGCCCTCACTTGGGCAGCTATTCCTGGCTGGGAAACACATCCTGACACTGAACAGACTCACCCCTCTGGCCAAACCAAACTCTGAGGCATTTGCAAACTTGCTGGGAAGCCAAAGAACTGTAAAGATGGAGCAAAGGTTTGTTTGATTTAATGTAATAGTGGGGAGGCAGGGCAGGAAGCGGGGAGCAGGGAAAAACAAATGTTTGATGTTTCGTGTGGATACAGCAGCGTTATTTGCTGATGGAGGTTTACTGACTCAGGGCAGCTGCAAGGCTCCTTTCCATGCCTCTGTATTCCACATCTGGGGAAAAGCAGGGGAGGACGACGTGGACATTTTTATCCCTGTCCATCTGCTGTTGTCTGACACATCACCCAGCCTCTCTGCCTCAGTTTCCCTGTTGCTCTCCACCAGCTATCCAGGAAGATCCATGCCACTAACTCCTGACCTGCCAGGCTGTGAGATCCCCAAAACACAAGGGAGAAATTCAAACTCTGTGTGTTTCTGCCTCACTCAGTTCTCCTTCCAGCCAGAGGCTCAGTGGAAGGAGCAGCCCAGCTCCAGGCTGGTGTCCATCTCCTCAGCCTCCTCCCCAGGTTTTACACCAACAGCTCCTTCCCATCCTGTGCACCTGGAACAGGCTCCTGCCCAGACCAAAGCAGAAGGATGCAACAGCTGTGTGCCCAGCCCCAGCAAAAGGACCCTCCTCTCCCTCACTGTGAACTCTCAGATTCTGGGAGCTCCCAAACAAGAAACACGAGATATGGGAAAAAAAAAAAAAAAAAAAAAAAAAAAAAAAAAAAAAAAAAAAAAAAAAAAAAAAAAAAAAAGATGGATGTCCCCGAACTACATAAATTTTGGGGTTTTTATTCAACTTTAGCCCAGTGTGCAGTGTAATGGAAAAGTCCTGTTCACAAACAAATTTGCTCTATCCCCTTCTCATGCTTAGAATCACAATCACCAAATGGTCCAGGCTCTGATCTGCTCCTGTCCTGCAACAGGCGTGGGGAAGTCACATCACCCCCCACATAGGGAACACAGTTTTAACACACAGCTTGTGTATTTTATTTTCTTTCTCAATACCTGACCCCTTCCTTTGGCCCAGGCTATGGGGCTCAACTTAAACCTCAGTCACTCCAGATAAGTTACTGGAAATATAAATATGAATAAATCTGCTCTGTCCCTTGGCTGTATGTTTAAGATGGGGCCCCAATCCTTAGCTGGAAATTATCAATCCTTGATACAGTACAAATAATAAAGCTAAAGCTAACAGTGCTCACTAAGAATGCACAAATCTACATCAAGCTAATTTTAGGGATCTGATGATAGCACACTCAGGCTCTGGACTATTTACATTATCAAGGATATATTTCCTATTTTCCACCCACATTTCATAACAAACCAGAACAGCTCCAGATACAAACAAGCAAACTGCTCTAGAGCTAGGAAAGCCCAGAGTCAGATGCTTGGAAGCAAGGGAGGGGGTCTGACCCCCATGTTTTCTCAGCCACACATTGCATAGGAGAAAGGATTTATGTCCTCATAAGAAGAAAACCCTCAGAAGCTGCTGAAGGACTGGGACTACAAACCAGCAGAAGTTCCCAAAAGAGACTTTCAGGAAAGGGAAGATCCATTCAGGCACGTGGCACTCGTGGAATGCCCTTCCCAGTCACCCCGAAAGCATCCCCAGAAGCGCGGCTGTCCTCATCCAGCCAGGGTCAGGGACCTTGTGGGGGCTGCCCAGTGCCACCACTTCACTCTCCCTGCTTCGGGGAAGGTGGAACGGACAAAAAGAAATCTGCTGCCAGCTAAACTGACCCGTCAGTCCCCTGGTACCTGGGGGTGAAGGGTGGGAGACGCCAGAGAGGAGCAGCAGGACAAGGTAGAACAGAAGAGGAGCTGGCTCAGCACTCTGGTGGGTGAAAGATGGATCAGCAGGTACTGGAGAGGGGGAAGAGCTGGCTCAGGGGTAAAGCTCTGAGCCTGCTGCTAACGGGATTCAGCCCAGAGCCCCGGGGGCAGGAGGACCCCGGGACCTCCTACCTCAGCTGCTCTCCAGCAATCATCACCTCGGCCCTGTAGTGCTGCTCCGTGGCTTTCTTCTTCAGGCTGCTGCCCAGGCTGTCCATGCCGGGCTGCCGCGGCTCCCCATGGGCTGAGCTGCAGGATGCTGCTCCCGGGCCTGGCTCGGGGCAGGTGAGGCACCCGCAGCGCTGGCTCCGCTCCCCGCCCGTCCCTCCTCCCGGCCGGCTCCGGAGGAGGAGCCTGCTGCAATCCCAGCCCGGCTCCGCCGCTGGCAGCCGGAGGTGACCGCGGGCCCTGCAGCCCGGGACAGTGTCCCCTCGGCCGGGGGATGGCATCCCGCTATCTCCCAGAGAAGCACTGTGGTCTTTTAGACACTATTCCAAGGATGGACTAACAGGGAAGGATGAAAATGGTGAGTTTGGAGAGTAATTTCTTCACTATGTTTGGAAATACGGAGAGCCACTCTTTTAATTAATGTTTGTGATGGTTTAAAAAAGAAATTGCAAAGGGTTTTTCTCTTTATGCAGGAACAACCTGTGTCACCACTCACGGGCTGGAGGATGAGCCAAAGATGGACAAAGCAGCTCCTTCCTTATGCTGTAACCTTCCTGGGGTTCAAGATGTGCCGTCCCCAAGGCAAGCCATGTGCCTGTTCCCATCTTCCTCCCTGCCTTTGCACAGGGTGGGATGCACACAACACCGTGGCCAACCCTTGCTAAAGGGGATCAGAGCAGCTTGAGCCCTCCCTCTGTGCAGGAGCCACCAGAGGGGGTGGATGGAGAAGCACGGGCTGTGAATATCCAGATCTGGCACTGGTGAGGCTGGAGCTCTGCTGGTGCCACTGATGCCACCTCTGTCACCTCCAGGCACTGGCACCTGCCTCAGCTCCCACTCATCATTCCCATTATTTGAGGAACTTTCTGCAAGGCCAGAGCTGACCTAAAACTGATGGTGACCAGCACAGAAAAAGGCAGAGGATGTGGAGAGGGTTAATTACACTCATCACTACTGTCAGGTTCCTGTAAAATCATGCTTCCATCAGTCAATCAGGAGTGAAAAATACTGCCTGGCACAGGGGACCAGACTTCAGAAACACAAAAGAAACCTACCAAAAGAGAGTGTGGAGAAGATAGGTGTGAGGGCAGGGAAGGAAATTTTATCAGCTAAGGAGGTTCTGCTTCAATTTAAGTCAAATAAAGCATCAATAAACTAAATGCTGTCTTTAATTAGCTCCTCTGTGGCAGTAATTCATCAGCAGGCAGTGAGTTTGCTGTGGTCTCCATCAGCACGGAATTCCAGGCTTACATTCCCCCATCCCATAAATGCTCCTAAATCCACCCCCTGTGCTGGGGTCTCGGGAAGAGCAGCATAAGGAGCAGGAGACACGGGGCAAAGGCACCACGGTAGCTGGAGGCACGCTGGGTTTCTTTGGGCTCCCTGCTGGTGGAGCAGCAGCAGAGGTGACGAGTGGGGCTGGACAAACCTCGCTGCCGTCCAAGGCAAACAGGAGCAGCGGGATGGGCTGTGCCAACAAGGCTCCTCTGTCCAGGCTCTCCCGGAGCAGCTCCAGCTCTGCCCGGGGCCAGAAAGGCAGAACAGGCTCCCCTTGTGTGCCCAGCCCCGTGCCACGCTCGGGATGGCTCCTGGAGCCCCTCCGGGGTGTCTGAGGCTCTGCTAAAGAGCCTTTGAGGGCTCCCAGGGCAGGCTGGGCTCGTCCCTGCCCTGCTGCAGCATCCTTTGTTCCCAACGTGAGCACAGTGGTGAGAGCTCCCCAAATCTGCCCATCCCATTGCTCACAGTGCTGCTTCAACTATGGAGAAACTGCTGCTGTTTTAATCATCATAACTATTTTCAATCATTGGATAATAACTCTCTTCCTTAAAAGAAAATACATTCAAATACTCAGCTCCGATCCTGAGAGTGTTTTACACTAACAAGGTAAAGGATTTCAGCTTTTGCCAGCTTCTTCCATGAAAAACACAGGAGGAAAAAAGCTTATTTCTCCAGTAAATAACCTTGTAAAGTGTGCCCTTTAAATTAGATGTTAATGTTTCTACTTAAGACACGCAAAAAAGGAAGAGAACTATGAAAAATATATTATCTCCCCATCTTAAGCTTGGGGAACATTCAAGGGAGCAGAGTGAGGGCACAGCAGCCAGGGATATCCAGGGCTGCTGAGGATGCAGGGAGCTGTGCTTGGAAAGCTGCCTGTGAGGATGACGGGCAGGGGGATGGACTAAAACTTCTCCTGAGAGGACAGAGCACCACTGTAAATCTGCAGCTGTCACACAGGAGGTGACTGGAGTGGCTGTTTCCCCAACAAGGACCAGGGCCAAGCTGATGAAATGAGTCAGCAGCCTTGAGACAAACTCCTTGACAGGAGGGTTTTCCCCTTCAGCTGCATAAACTGTGCAAATTATCAATACTGGATGTTTAGCTTCAAAATCTAAATTAATTTTAAAAAGGATTAGGTAAATTCATGAAGGACAGGTCTTGGTATTGAACATGGAAATCCAGGTGATTACTTCTGTTTTCAGTGGTGGAAGCTGCAAGAATGCTTCAGTGGAGAGTTCACTCACAATTTCTTCTCCTCTTTTCCTGATTTCTGCTGCTGGTCCACACCAGAGCAAGGATCCAGGCCTGGAAGAACTTCAGCTCTCCATCAGCTCAACACTCTGAATGTCACAACCTCAGGGCTTTTTACACTGACATTTAAGGGGAAGAGCACCTCACCAATTCAGGAGAAACGGAATGTTAAACCAAATCTCTGTGCTCACAGCAGGTCTTATTTAACCTCAGCAGTGTCCTTTGCAGATCTGAGCTTTCCCCCAAAGCATTTTGTTCCCTTTCTTGAAGGGAATGTAGGGAATATACCCAGCAAGCTGCTGTTAACTCCATCCTGGAGGTGACAGAATTTCAGAGTTGGGAAAATCAATCCCTAAATATGCCTCCCCCACTCCCCATCTGGGAGGGATTAATTAGATTGAATTAGTTATCAGCTCAATCTACAGATGAAAAGTGCTTTCCATAGCATGGCTTTGGAGTCCAATCTACAATGAATGAGTCCCTCCACCTAGGTCTCCCCTCCAGAGGAGCTGCAGTGCCTGAATTTTCTGTTTCAATAGACTAGGAAGTCGTTTGCCTCATTAAGTGTTCAGAAAAGATAGGGGAACCTCTGGAAACAGCCAAATATCTATGTTTTCAGATAGAAAGTTCAGCACCCTTTGATTTTTTTTGTTTCCTTCTTTTTTCCCTAGCAGGGCTGAGGAAAAGACAGGAAGAAATCAGATGAGTTTGTTTTGGAAAGCTGTAAAAAGATAACAAAACTGTTTGTAAATCTTGCTAGGAGTGAGCACAGAGGACACCAGGAGCTGTCACAGCCGTCCTTTCACTGGCTGCAAAGCTTGCCTTGTCCTTTGCCTAAATTTTGTCCTCTCTATGGCAATTCAGGCCTGCATTTGAAGCAGAGAGCTGGAGAAATCTCCCGTGCAGGGGAGCAGAGTCTGGTGAGATCAGATGCAGATTTTTCCTGCTCTGAGCTGGCACATCTGATGCCAGCAGGCTGCAGCTGGCAGCCAGCCAGTGCTGCTTGTCCCACTCACCAAATTTGATTTTGCTTAAACAACAAAACAAAAAATAAACCTAAAAAACTTTAAAAGGATTTCACTGCCAACATCAACAAATAAAATCCCTGATTTGATTTGATAAAGTCCCTTCCCCAGGCCAGCTGCCAGCTGTCCTTGCCAGAGAGCATTTCCCTGGGGGCAAGTCCTTGTCCCCAGCAAGGTGTGCTCACCTGGGCTGGAGCCCAGAGCTGGGCTGGCAGCAGAGTGCCCAGCATTGTTTGGGAGCCAGGCCCTCCTGCTGCTTTGGGAAAAGTTGTTTCTATTCCAGTAAAGGTCACAGGCCACCCCGGGGCTATTTGTGCTTAACTCATTGGTGTCCGGGCCACAGCAAACACCGGAGGCCACCTGGCATCAACCCCCTCCCCTTGGAGCAGCACATCAGGAATTCTGGGGGCATCTTGCACTGAGGTTCCTCATCCACAGCAGCCAGGGAATGCTCCTGTAGCCAGTAAAGCCAGCCTGAGGTGGCTGGGCACCAGGGAAGCACATTGCACCCTGGAGAATCCTGCACTCCTGGGCTGGAGGCTGAGAGTGGACAGCATGTTCTCAGAGAAAAGTGGAAGATTTATTTCCATCTAGTGGCAGAAAACGAGCACAGTACTCAGCAATTTCTCATTACTCAGTTATAAATCTGAGCTGGAGCTCTCCTGTCATTGAGCGTCCTTCATTTTGTTCCAGAAAAAAAAAAAATTGGGATGTTTGAGCAATATGTTGTATATTTCCACAGAAAAGACAGGCTGCTAACCCCAAGTAATTAAATGCAAGACAAAATAATTTGGTTGGCTTCAAAGTAATAAATAGGGGGATCTTCGTTGACCTTAAAATTGTAAACAAATACAGCTCAGTCCTGGTTCTCCAGCACTACAAGGAATAAAACTTCAGCTTGGAAAACAAACAAACAAAGAAACAACACTGAAAAATTAAATTCTCCCATGATTGCATTGCTTCAGGACCTGCAGCTTCAATGAAAACACCACCAAGTACTCACCTGCTTTATGAACTAATAAAAGTTTCATTGGGAAAAAAGAAAACCAACAAAGAAAAAAATGACAACAAAAGAAATGCTCTTACACAACAAGACACGGAACTTTGTCACCTCCACTTCCCCATTCCTCAACACCAGAAGAAACAATTCAAACTGTTAATAGCCCTCAACTTTTAGCTCCCATAGCAGAGTGTGGGTGTGAGACTTCAAAGCTGGGCAAAGGAGTTTAATTCCCCCTGCTCACCCTCAGGGTGAGGCTCTTCTGTGTGGTTTTACAGCTCAGGTGTTGCAGACCACTGGGACAGGGACACAGAGACTTCCTTGTCCCTGCTCTGGGACATCTCTGGGAGGCACCTCTGCTGCCCCAGCTCCACAGAAACCTCTCGGGACTCAAGGAGGTCTTTTCCAGTCCAAATGATTCTATGATTCAGGGAGCTGCAGGCTGCAGAGCAGCACTCAGAGCTCCCTAGCATGGTCTGGGCACCCTAAGCTGGGTCAGGGCCATGCCATGGCCGAATCTAAACCCACATTTCTCTCAGGCTTCAGAGGTGGGAAAGTCTCCAGGCTCCTGCTGTGATGGGAACGTGCTGATTACGTTACAATTAGCCTGGACTGAACACAGCCAAAGGAGCCACTCCTGGCAGGGGAACTGTAATCCTATTAAAAAGAGCTCTTGGCTATTGCCAGCCTGTGTGGGGAGCAGTGAGACAGCCCTGTCCCAGCTCTGCACCGCCAGTCTGCTCTTCCTCCTCATAAAGAAAGAGCTTACAGTGGTCTAACAGCAAGGGCCAGGATACCAGGGATCACAAAAAGCTCAGATATTTGGTATTTGTTACAGCCCAAGCTTTAAACTGCCTCCATCCAGCCTGGTGCACCCTGGCAGTGAGATGGGAGCTGGAATCCCAAGGCTGTAAATAAAAACAAAGGAGTACCTGTGTGGGGTTGCAGGACAGGAATTTGCCCCCTGTTGGCTTAATGCAGCATGAAAGTCCCAGGCAGAGGACAGGATGGGGCTGTGGGTAACAGATCCATGAGCAGGAACACATTTCCAACCCTGCATCCAGCTATCCAAACCTCACACTAGGTTCCCTCAGAGCCAGTGACACAGTCTCCTCTGAGGAAGGAAGGTGAAGTGACAAGCAAAGATCTGAAAGGAGCATCTTCACAGAATCATAAAATTACTTCTGGGTGGAAAGGACCTTCAGGGTCATCTAGTTCCAGCCCCTGCTCTATGGACAGGGACCCTTCACTGGATCATCATCATCTGTGTGAGCTGGTGTTGCCCCAGTCCCTCCTCAAGCCCAGTGCAAGAGAGGGTTTGGGTGGCCTTTAGCAGATGGTAAAAGCCCTTCACAGCCAGCATCAGAGAGAGGACAGTCATTTAACAGATGTGGGAATGGGGGAGTTTGTCCTGCAGAGGTTTAGTTTGACAAGCCGGGATCTCACCAGCAGCCTAGATTACACAAGGAGTATTTATTCCACTTCTCTGCTATGCCTTGTGCTCCCTCCCAAGGTCTGGGACCAGCTCAGAGACACACCTTGGTGTGGGCAAGAAGCTTAAGGGAGTTGCAGCCTCAGCTTCAGATTCTATCTCTTCTTGCCA